TTAGTGGATGAACTGTGTTTACAGACAAGTGTTCCTGAGCCCAGAACTACGGTGGCCCCGAGTTGTAAATGAACAACATTTGAAAAAACGTTATTACATTATGCCAAAATGGAAGTGGTTGAAGTGGAAGTGACCAGAGCGGAAGTGGTCAAAATCCATCCATCCATTATCTTTTACCTGCTTCTTCCATTTTTGGGTCACGGGGGTCACTGGTGCCCATGTCCAGCAATCACTGTGCGAGGGGGGGGGTACACCCTTGACAGGTCGCAAGTCCATCACAGGGCCACATGGAGACAAACAACCATTCACTCTCTCACTCACACCTAGGGACAATTTAGAGTTACCAATCAGCCTAACATGCATGTTTTTGGTTTGTGGGAGAAAACCGGAGTACCCGGAGAAAACCCACGCATGCACGGAGAGAACATGCAAACTCCACCCAGAATGGCCCCCGGACCGGGGTTTGAACCGGGGACCTGCTCGCTGAGATGCAGCAGCTCTACCAGTTGTGCCACCGTGCTGCCCGTGGTCAAAATCACATTTGGAAAAACTGAATTGCATTAAGCCAAAGGAGAAGCCGAAGTGGAAGTGATTGAAGCGGAAGTGGCAAGAATCACATTTGAAAAAACATAATTACATTAATTCTGTTTTTTCAATATATATATATATCTATATATATATAGATATATATCTATCTATATATATATATATATGTATCTTTATATAGATATCTATATATTTTTTCCAATTTAATTTAGTTTTTTGAAATGTAATTCCATTTTTCTCATATGTGATTCCAGCCACTTCCACTTTGGCCACTTCTGCTTTGGCTTTGACTTAATTCCATTTTTTTCAAATGTTGTTCATTTACACCTCAGGGCCACCGTAGAGAACAAAACCAGTCCTGGTTTTAATGCAGTCCTGAGGCCCGAAGCTCACGACCATCCAATACTGACCTTTAGCCTCGTCCTTTGAGTTCAGAGATTTCTGCACATTAAATCTTTACATGATAAAATTAACTGTAGATGAGATATTAAAGTCCAGTTGTCCACTGATGAACAATACTTTTAAATTGTTCCACAGACAGGTGAACCTCTACCCATCTTTACTTCGGAGAGATTCAGCCTTTCTAAACTGCTCTTTTACTGACCTGTTGCCAAATGACCCAATAAGCTGCAAAATGTTCCTCCAGCTGTTTCTTATCCATATCACTTAATTGTCACCTTCCTCTCAATTACAGTATTTTATACGTTATTGCCATCAAATTAAACTTTACCTTTTTAAATTTTCCCACAAAAAATAACAAAGTCAAGTTTCTTAGTTTCAGTTTTTGATATATTTACCGTCTTATTTTTAATGAAATATGAGTTTATGAAATGTGCAAATCATAGCATTCGGTTTTTAATTTACATTTTACACAACCTTTCCAGGTCTGGGGTTGTACATTTATTACAAGGGCCCCCCTGCCTGGGATGCGTGATCGGTAAATATTCAGTCCAGTCTGGTTAAAAGAAGTCAGAAACACAAGCGTGGATGATACATATCCTTTATTTCCATCACGACTGCTTCAGCCACACTGTTCCTTCCACATCCACCAACATCCTGTGACCCAAAATGTCTGACCTGACTGAAACTCTCACTCCAATCCTCGTCATTAACTGATAAAAAAGTAAACTTCTTGAATAAATTACATATATAAAAAAAAAAAACAAGTGAAAATCAAAAGGGATACCAATTTGAGAGAGATAAACACAGCAGAAACAATGTTAACTCATCATTGTTGTTGTTTTTTGATAAACAACTTCCAGGTCCCCATTTAGTAATCATTAGTAGTATTAGTATCAAGTTCATCGTCAGGTTTTTGCTCAAAGCATCACTTATATGGTTTTCAAGTTGACATCATTCATGTTAATATAAGCATGCAAACGTGTTTCCCCATGACCGTTCAGGACTGCACGAACAAGACGACGGGGGGATAAGAACGGAAGGACGAGGCCACAAGGTGGAGGGGTGCGGGCCTGGAGGAGGAAGGAAAAGCAGAGCGGGAGATGGACGGGGGAGGTGGAGGAGAAAAAGAGTGATCAGATGGTGAGGGTGGGTTGGGCGATGGAGAGGGGAGGAGAATCAAGGGGTGTGCAGGTTTCTATCACTAGCGGGGAGAAAAAGGCTGGGGATGATGGAGAACTATGGGGCTTCTGGACCAATGGATCAATGAAATATTGACTCATACAAGCCGATCAATAACCCCCACCTCACACTGCCCCACAAAATATACCTGCCTCCTCTGACCCAGAGGTAACGGGAAAGAAACCAGACTCCCTTCTCCAAAAAACACTCCTGTGCAAAAGTGTTAGTGTGCGAGAGGATTACAGGAAAGTGGCAGCCATACTGTAGTTGCAGCGGGGCGTAGCTGCAGCGGGGCGTAGTTGCAGCGGGGCGTAGCTGCAGCGGGGCGTAGCTGCAGCGAGGCGTAGCTGCAGCGGGGCATAGCTGCAGCGAGGCGTAGCTGCAGCGGGGCGAAACTGCAGCGAGGCGTAGCTGCAGCGGGGCGTAGCTGCAGCGGGGCGTAGCTGCAGCGAGGCGTAGCTGCAGCTACAATCTGCTGAGGCTACAGTCGTATTAGCAGCGACAGGCATGGCTTTGTCAGTCTGTATCGATTTACACGGGAAGTGCAGGAATTTCAGGAGCTTGGTTTCTCGTGACACCTCCTCCCCGCTGACTTCCAGGGGGATCTACCGTAATTTCCGGACTATTGAGCTCACCTGAATATAAGCCGCGCCCACTAAATTTAAAAAGAAAAATAAAGTTGTACACACATAGGCTGCACTTGTTGAGGCAAATTCGTGATTCGATTTGATAAATGATTCACACTTGTTTCGAGTGGCTGCCAATACTTCGTTGTGCCCCCTGTCGCCTCCCTGGGGGCACAATTGTGAGGTGGGGGAGAACGGGGAGAGGTAAAATGAAGTTTCACCCCTTCCCCAGTGAATCCAAGTTTCATTGGTCCACTGTGACCTGTTCAATCATTTCATTGGTTAGATTTTTTTTATTTTATTTATACAGGTAGTATCATCGAGTCATAAGAACCCGCCCCCCAAGAGAAACGTGTATTGGGCAGCTATGTGAGCACCCGGGTGTGACGAGGCTAAATGTTTTGGCAGCATGAAGCTCGTTAGTCTGTTTAAAAATAAAATCCATGAACAACCCGCAGCATTTTATAAGCCGCGGTGTTCAAAGTGTGTGAAACAAGTCGTGGCTTATAGTCTGGAAATTACGGTAATGTTGTCAGTGGCTGTAAGATTCAGTTTTTTGTTTGTTTGTTTGTTTGTCCTCTCCTAATAGATATAAGCAAAATACACCTGCAGTTTTCTTCTTTTTTTTTTTTACCCATTTGGTTTTACCCTCAGACATACGGCGCACGTTAGTGACAGAGATACACGATCAACACGGTTACATCAGGCGAAGGGTTCAAGAGGAGAGGGCAGCTGATTTCAGACAACATAGACAATAAAAACTAATGTCGAAGACAGACACTGTTTTCCCATCTAGTTCAATGAGGCACGAATAGTACAGACACACACGTTCTCTCTTACACACACGAACACACACACAGACGCACAAACTAAATGGCTCCTTTTTCAAGACACGAGACAAAATACAAGTTTCGGCTCCGAGACTATAGCTTGTTTTTTTTTTAGTTTTTTTTTGTGGATGCCTGGGGGAATGATAAGCACACACTCCCAATCTCACACACACAGGAAGTACAAAACAAACGCCCACAAACACAGAAACACACTAATAAAAGCAACGCGTGTCCTTCTGGAGTCCGTTCAGGGACACGATGTGGACATCTAGACAAAAATGTTGCCAGTTGAAGCGTGGCGACGACTTGTTTGTTGTTTGCTGCTGATGGGAACAGAAAAGCATCGGGTCCAGGGATGATAGAAAAGTAAAAAGTGGTGAAATCCTCCTGAAGGTGCTCTCTGAACAGATGCTGGTCCGATCCCAAACAGGCTTGTCAACCTGATCAGTCCTTCGTCGGGAAAAGTCTGAAAAGCGAGAGTCCGAGTTTCTCCCACGCTCACACGTCTCCTCCTCAGTGGACTGTAAACATGAATAAACTCCCTTCCTGATGGATGGATGTGGGTTTTAATCACAGAAATGGCAGAGTAAAATCATATATATATATATATAAATATATATATAAAAAAAGAGTACCATTAAGACAAACAGTGTGATGAAGAGGGACACATTTCAAGGTTGCGTAACATGCTGAGACCAATGAGTCTGTCCTCGTTTTTCACTCCTCTGACATCAATAACGACCAACGGACGCTTCGTCATCTTTCCTCTCGGGGAAATAATCGAGTTAGCTCTGAAACCAGAGGGTACCGACTCCGGAGAAGGCGTCCAAATTGGTCAGGCGAATCCACCGTGGATGTGTTATCCTGTTAGTAATACATAATGCGTTTCCCCCCCCATACAGTATGGCATGTACTGTACACTAAGGTCACAAAGAAAAGGTCATTTTCTTCTCGATAGTCTGTACACGGGCGTGGAGCTTTGGTCCTGGTTGAAACGATCCTCCTATGATGGCTTTCTTCTTCTTTTTTTAATTTCTTGAAAAGTTCTAGATGAAAACATTAATCTGAAGAGCACATGAACTACACACGTACCACAAACTGTGTATTTATGTATGCGTGTGTGTGAGAGAGAAAAGTGTGTGCGTCTCCTGGCTAAAGCCGAAATTTACACCTGACATCTTCTAAAGGATCTGTGATGTGTTCGTCATGTGTGGTCTGATGTTCCAGCTGCAGCTCGAGATGAATGGAGACATTTATATATATATTTTATTTCTTCACCCCTTCAGCTCGGTAAAGACAGAACAGGAGTTGGAGCAAATCGGCACCAGCAGTTGGACTCTAGCAGTGTCTCCGCGTCGTTCTGTCCTTCACGGGGAGAATTATTCACACACAAGAAGAAAAAAAACAACAAAAAGTTGGGAGCTGTCGAGATGAGGATGACCTGAGGAGAGAGAAAACCAGGACGAAGAGGCAGATTAGACACGTGTGAGAAAGTGAGGGACAAGACATGATATAAAGCGTGCAGGACTGGAAGTCTGAGGGGGGGGGGGGGGGGATTACACAACCCAGAGCATCTAGATTAAACAGACGCTTCTTAGACCTCCATCATCTAACAACTTCACAGCCTCCACTTTATCGCGCGCTCACAGTTTGGTCGTGCTTTTTTAAGACTTGACTAGATTTCATGTGTTAATCTGACAGGAGCGCCTCTGCCTCACAGAACGTGGACGTGGGCTGGATTTAAAGAGCCCAAATCCTCAACACCGGATATTTCTAAACATCATGGGGTCGCAGAAATAACAACAACAAAAAAAAGAACTCTGGAATGTCCCTGCAGGGCCAGTAGGCGGATAAAACTCGACATGAACAAGCTATAGGATTCTCCTTAACCCTCCTGCTGCCAGCATCATTTTTCTGTAATAAATACAAATGCATTTTTCACAAGAAAACAATTATAACTAGGGATGCACGATATTGGATTTTTGGCCGATATCCGATATGTCGATATGTTAAAACTTATTTGGCCGATAACCGATACCGATATTTTTCCCCCTAATTAAAATACTACATTGTTATTGTCAGTTTGTTCTGCTGCCAAATGCAGATGTCAAAAAAGGGGCTGAAAATGATGCAACACTTCAACTTGAATTATGTTAAGTGTCAAATTTATTCACGACATTTACTCTCTGACGCAATGACAACACTCGAACAGAGCAAATTTGTAAATTTTCACAAATCTAAACTCAACCTGTTCGCAAGCGACAAGTGAAAAGCGAATAAGTAGCAGCGCATTAATACATAAACTTGACAGTTTCTTAAATTTAAAATAAACATAAAACAGAAGCCTTTTATATCGGTGAGTTATTTTGATGGAATGGCCGATGTCCGATATTTAACTTTATCGCGACCGATACCACGCCGATAATATTGTGCGTCCCTAATTATAACATAATGGGGCGGGGGGGGGGGGGGGGG